ATAACAGAATAACAGAATAACAGAGTTGGAAGGGGCTTTGGAGGTCTTCTAGTCCAACCCCCTGCTTAGGCAGGAAACCCTACACCACTTCAGACAAAGGGTGATCCAATATCTGACTTTGGATACCAGAAATCCTATCAATCTAAATTTCTTCCATCAACTTCAACCCAATCCCTTCTCCCGATTCCTCAGAAATTTAGTAGTATTGGCTGATTGTGAAGTAGCCGAGGAAAGAGAAAGTTCTTTTTTTAAAAAAAATATCTCATGGATAACTTGCTCTTTTTCTGGCAGGGCCACGGTGTGATCGCTGTTCCCCTGGCTATTTTGGAAGCCCTGGGCAGGAAGGTGGTGCCTGCCGCCCTTGTCAGTGTAACAATAACATTGACCCCAGTGACCCCGAGGCCTGTGACCCACATACTGGTCAATGTCTACATTGCCTTTACAACACTGGTGGACCCCGCTGTGCCGAATGTCAGCCTGGCTACTACGGCAATGCCTTTCAACGGAGCTGCCGACGTGAGTGAGATAGCCACAGCGGTAACACTTAGACTTAAATACCTCTTCATAGTGCTTTACAGCCCTCTATAAGCTGTTTACAGAGTCAGCACATTGTTTCCCCCCCCCCCAACATTCTGTGTTTTTATCCAACTCGGAAAGATGAAAGGCTGAGTCAACCTTTAGCCAGTCAGGATTGAACTCCTGGCAGTGGACGCAATTAGCCTGCAATACTGCATTCTAACCACTGCGCCACCAGGGCTCTTGATTGAGCTTGAATGATATTCAGGAGGAATGAGAAGGGGCTTTTGGGTGGTCTCCTTAAAATTCTGAGATCGTGATTAGTCTTTATTTAATTTCATTTCTCTCTTTCCTTTCTTCTGGGAGCTAAGGATAAAGTGCACGGGGCAGAGGTGGGTTGCTCCCGGTACAGCCCAGATCGGGTGAACTGGTAGTAGCGGCGGCGGGAGGCTCCGCCCACCCACCCAGACACTTCTGTGCAGAAACGCGCGGAGGAACGTGCCTGAACTGGTAGTAAAAAAATTGGCAACCAACCACCGGCATGGGGGAATTATTTCAACCTTCCAGCAGCAATTTGATAAAGTCGATTGGGTTGAGAGAATATAGAACAGTGGTCTCCAACCTTTCCAGCTTAGTGGCCAGTGCAGTGAGGAGAGGGGCTGCGAGTGGCAGGCGGACGTGCTGTCTGTTCGCACAAATGCAGCTTTGTGTGCAAGCGGTGGGCATTTGCCCGTGAAGCAGAGCTGGGTTGCTACCGGTTCGCACTGGTTTGGGTAAACTGGCAGTAACGCCGGGAGCAACCCACTGCCGCGAAGCTCCACTCAAATGAGTGGAGGATGATTATGCTTGTATGCGAAGCTCCAAATGAAGCTTTGCATGTGAACGCAAGTACCCTCCATTCATGTAAATGGAGCTTTGCACACGAGCGTAAGCACGCACCACTCACACGAGCAGAGCTTCGCACAGGTGCACTTGCCTGCCACTCATGCAAGTGCAGCTTTGTGAGTGCACACTTGCCCATCGCTCGTGCGGCCCGATTTCAAACAGACCACAGCCAGTAGTGGGCCATAGGCTGTGGGCCATGGGCCGTGGGCCGAGAATTGGGGACCCCTGATATAGAACATAGAATCACAAAGCTAAAAGGGACCTTAGAGGTCTTCTAGTCCAACCCCCCTGCTCAAGGCAGGAGACCTTACACCACCTTGGTCAAATGGTTGCCCAGTCTATGTTTGAATTTAAATTCAAAAATCACATTTCGGTCCTCCTGGTTTCTGACCAACATTTCAGTTCTCATTTATGCCCGTAATATTGTGGGGGAAAAAACTTTGGGACTGGAGCCTACGTATACTGCTATCAGTGGGAGAAAATTTAGAGCCTTCTTCCATGTAGTTTCTGTATCTGAGTCAATGTTGGCCACTTTTCCCTATGTTGATTCGCATCCCAGCTTTTTTTCAACTTTATCCAATACTTCGTAGTTTAAACTAATCTGAGCTGGGTTCCTAGAAAACTAAGTAAGCTGGTATAGAAGTAGGGCAGCTAACCAGGGCTCATTTTCTCTGCCCCCAATTTAGCAGTCATGGAATTAATTCCCATCTCCCAAGAACCCCAGGAGATTCCAGAGGTTTCCCATCCCTTCAAACAGCTCTTCTCTCTCCTTCCTCCCAAAATCACATGTACAGTCTGTGCATTTGTCCATCGGAATTAGTGCATGTATATTTGCCTGGTCATGCATAAAACATTCCTATTGATTAATAGCTTAATCAATCCAGAGAAGCCTCAAAAATCTTCTGGACCGGGATGTCAATGGATGTGTATATTTAATCCAAAATGGGTGGACTGCTACAGGTTCGCCAGGGTTCAGGAGAACCTATAGCTAATGTTATGGCTGGTTCGGAGGCTGGCCATGCCTACCCCACCCCTCCAAGGAGTCTCCATATGGCCCATTTTGGATGTGAGGTAAGAACAGGGCCCATGTGGGAACTCTGGGAGGGGGAAAAATGGACCTCCTGGAAGTTCTGGAAGGCTGGAAACAGGCCCGAGGGAGGCAGTTTTCGCCCTCCCAGAGGCTTGGGTAAAGCCTCTGGAGCCTGGGAAAGCTGAAAACCATGCCCCCCCCCCCCCAAGGTGTAGGAGGCTGACTAGGCCACACCAACCATGGTCACGCCCACTCAGCAACCATGCAGAGAGCCCGCTGCTGAAATTTTTGAAGCCCACCCCTGACCCAAAAATCTTGACACAGACTAGCAAAATGGTTTGAGAGCTGTTCCCAAACTGGATTAGTTGTGTGTGGGGGGGGGGGGGGAAACAAGACCTCTAAAACAAGACTTCACTGAAAGATCCTATGTGATTCTTACAACTGCACCTGAAGCAAAATCAATATATGCTTATGTCTTCCTTCTGGAATTCTTAAATGCTACACATGCTGCAGTCTTGTGAATCACATCAGATCCTGTAGGTGGATGAAACAGAAACTTTGTCCATGGTGTAGGGACTCACCACCCACCCCTCTTCTAGAAAAATGAAATATCCTGGGAAATATTGAAAAGGCAGAATATTATATTTCCCTGGATGTGAAAAGAGAGAAACATGTTTTTAAAGACAAAGTAGCTCCCTGCAGCTTCCCGCTTCCCTTTTGTCAATGGGCCATTAAAAGGCCTGGGTCAGTCTATTCTACATAACAAAGATCCCCCTTCAGCTCCAGGGTGATGGGATTAAGACATGATAGTATTGGCCCTTTACCCATCTCAGCACAGGGCACCTGGGAAGAAGCAACGCTCAATCAAACTTGGACTCAAAGCACAGCCTAGAGAGTTGCCCCTGCATGGCCCCAT